ATACATCAACTTTGCGCTGTGGATCGCCGGATCAGCTTTCAACGTATACAAAGCATAGTCCAGCCCGGGGTCGTCACATGTGGTTGCCACAAGCCGCTCACTCAAGCCCGCCGTGTGTGACTCTGTGTGTTTCGTTGTGAAAGCGAAACTACTTTGTTTGGCCTTCCAAAAGTGGACACAACTAGAAATCAGTGGTTAAGTTGTATTTACAACAACCCAAAAGTTCAACCCAAATATTCAGATGTGTGCAGCGCATTTTGCGGAGGATGAGGACTGTTTCCTGTGAGAGTAGCCTACAATGCCGGTGTCTGTTTCTATAAAGTGGGGCAGTTCCAACTTTGCAAGGACAGTCTGGCGCTTCTGACTCACAGCTTGTAAGTACGTTTTTTGTCGTTTTTTACTTGTTGTTTGTCGTTTCTCCAGACACCTCGCTTTTCAGAACGATGAGCTTTGTAAAAATCTACACATTTCAGAACGGCGGGGCATAGAGGAGCAATAATAATGTAAATTATGTGGAAAATAAGGTTTTTTGAACCTTAAACCGCATAAACACATTGCATTACACCAAATACACATCATTAATGTTCTTTTTAGCAACATCATATGACCCCTTTAAAACTTCTAATAAATGTAAATTCTAAAGGTCAACATTTTTTAAAAGTAATAGACAATTGTTGGCATACTCTAAAAATATAATGTGAATATAATACGCTAAGACAATAATGTGTATAGCATAGGCCAGATGATTTATGCAGAATTTCTCCATTCAATCACAGTTCTGTCTAGGAGAAACAAATGATATATTAAATACATTTCTTTTATGAATTGCTTGCTATGAAGAGTGGTCAGAGAAAGAGTTTTCTTAATCATGCTTAATCAAGCTTAATCATGACATCTTTTGTAGAGGGCCTAAGTCTGTGATAAACTTTAAATGGCGATGTGATATGTCCACTGGTTTGAATTTGATAGATAAATGGACAGTAATATTTGATTGGTAGTAATTTTACTTAGCAATGCAGAAATGTGTTAAAAAAACTTATGTACTTTTTAGGATTTAGAAATCGAATGTTATGTTGGTCCATTTCTCTTCACAGTGTTGCTTCAAGCCAATCTTATAATTTACTGTAGCTGTCTCGTATGAAATGCCACAACAAGATTAAGTTGAAGGCTTTGACTTGTCAAAGCACAACAGTTCTTCTACTTCAGCTTTGCAATTCCACTTGAATATTTCCTTGTTTATGATCTTTTTGTGTGGTATGACCTACTTTCTATAATGCATAAGCTCATGGATAGACACATTGGCATTTTCCTGTACAATGTATTACTATAGTCCACAATTAATCAATTCTTTAATGACCACAAGCCATCTGGGTTCTCAGGCTGAAAAAAAACTGATATTTCTACCACCAGATGTCATTCTTTGAAAGTAGCATTTGGTTCTACTAAAAATAATTTGATTTGAATGCTATGATTTTTCCAATGATATCCTCCCATTTACACTTGTGTTTACTGTTCCCCATAAGGTGAATTCATGAACACAAAAACAATATTGAATGTCTTCCATTTGGAAATGATCAGTGGATTTATTCAGGCCAGTGTTTTTAATAATGAAGTTGTGACCTTTACACACAGACACAAATTTGTTTCTGACCAGTGCTTTTCGTTAGCTACTTACTAGTTACCTCAAATTTAGGCAAAATGAATGCAGGAATTTTATCATTTTAATGGGTTCAGCACCTTTTTCACACCATCACGAAATGCAAAAATTGCTTCGAATAAATTTAAAATGGCATGTTCTGGCTTCTGAATCCTAATCTCTGACTTGCATATTGATTTTATATCGGGTTGCAGTATTAGGAAAATGCAAATGACTATTAGAATATGAATATTTGAAGTACGTATGAAATTTACAAACAAGTTACAACAGCAGTAACAAACTAATGCAAAATTAGTCGTCCTTGAGACGATTCCACAAGCATGTGGAGTTAGGCTTGTCATGCTCGTTTCATTTTCAAATGTAATTAAACAGATCCTCAGTGTTGCCCTCTGTGTGAGATGACACAGAGGGCAACACATAAATCTGCATACTCTTACATATGCATGAACAAATGCTAAATCCCTGCATACATAATCAAATGCCTGTAACTATCACTTTGTTATTTTTGAAAATTTTGTCCTATTGTTTTTCATCTCCATTAGATAATACCTAAAGACAACGAGACGAGGTCCACACTAATGTACAAATAC